GGTTTTTTCGGGCTATAGGGCCATGTTCTAGAGCAGTGATGGGCAACCTTTTGAGCTTGGTGTGTCAAAATTTGCCAAAAACCTGGGTGGGGTGTCAACTTCGAGAAAAAAAAACACATAATTTTGCAATATTTATAGTTTCAATAAGAAAAATATATATTCCATGCTGAGTTATGGAGTGAACAATGCTCAAACGTGCAGATGTTAAATTTGTAGAGCCTTTTACAAATTTAAGGATGGAATTAGTTTGGCTCTTATAAGGTGTACTTCTCTGTGCGTGTCATCAAAAATAGCCATGCGTGTCAGTGCTGACACACGTGTCATAGGTTCACCATCATGGTTCTAGAGGCATTTCTCCTGACGTTTCGCCTGCATCTGTGGCAAGCATCCTCAGAGGTAGTGAGATAAAGATAAAATATTATTTCTAGCATTAACGGCTGCAAGGATGTGTTATGCAAAAAAATGGAGACAAACAGAAATACCAGAAGAAGATGAATGGATAATAAAAATGTTGGACATCAGCAACTTAGACAGACTTACTTTTCTATTATTGAAAAATAAAGAAACTGGAAGAAAAGAAACAGACTGGAGAGACGTCACCAAATATTTAAGGGAAAAGAAGAAAGAGACATTGATTTAGAGGGAAATGGAGAAATGAAGATGAAAACCAAAAGAAGGGGAAAAAAGATAGAAGAGAAGAAAAATAAAGAAGTTTACTTTTTATTTTTTTTCTTTAGCATAAGAATGAACAGAAGATTTTCGGAAGACATCAGGAGGTCGAGACACTTTTATTTTTCTCCTCTTTTTTTTTCTTTTTTTTCCCTTGACTTTTTATCTCACCTCTTTTTTTTTCTTTTTTCTCTATTTTCTCTCCCCCCCCTTTTTTTTTATCCATACCCATATTTCGTCTTTTATCCTTTATGAAAAACCTCAATAAAGATTATATTTTTTAAAAAAAGAGGTAGTGAGGTCTGTTGGAATTAGGACAATGGGTTTATATATCTGTGGAATGGCTGGCGTGGGGCAAAGAGCTCTTCTCTGCTGGAACTAGGTGTGAATGTTTCAACTGACCACCTTCATTAGCATTTGAAGGCCTGGCTGAGCCTGGGAAAATCTTTTGTTGAGAGGTGTTAAGATGTGCCTGGTTGTTTCCTCTCTGCTGTTTTGCTGTTGTAATTTTAGAGTTTTTTAATACTGGTAGCCAGATTTTGTTCATTTTCATGGTCTCTTCCTTTCTGTTGAAATTGTCCACATGCTTGTGGATTTCAATGGCTTCTCTGTGTAGTCTGACATGGTGGTTGTGAGAGTGGTCCAGCATTTCTGTGTTCTCAAATAATATGCTGTGTCCAGGGTGGTTCATCAGGTGCTCTGCTATGGCTGATTTCTCTGGTTGGAGTAGTCTGCAGTGCCTACATAGGGACCACCAAACACAGCGCCCAGACACGAATCAAGGAACATGAAAGGCACGGCAGACTACTCCAACCAGAGAAGTCAGCCATAGCAGAGCACCTGATGAACCAAACTGGACACAGCATATTATTTGAGAACACAGAAATGCTGGACCACTCTCACAACCACCATGTCAGACTACACAGAGAAGCCATTGAAATCCACAAGAAGCATGTGGACAATTTCAACAGAAAGGAAACCATGAAAATGAACAAAATCTGGCTACCAGTATTAAAAAACTCAAAAATTACAACAGCAAAACAACAGAGGGGAAACAAACAGGCACATAAAATTACTCTCAACAAAAGATTCCCCCCAGGCACTTCCAAGCCATTGAATGCTAATCAAGGTGATCAGCTGAAACATTCACACCTAGCCCCAGCAGACAAAAGTCCTTTGTCTCACCCTGGTCATTCCACAGATATATAAACCATTTTCCTACTTCCAACAGACCTCACTACCTCTGAGGATGCTTGCCATAGATGCAGGCGAAACGTCAGGAGAAAAATTGCCTCCAGAACATGGCCATATAGCCCGGAAAAACCTACAACAACCCAGTTAGTGAGTGTGTTCACTTAAAATGCAAAGCACCAAGCTGATTGGTTGGGCCATGCCAAAGAAGCTAGCTGAGCCTGGGAGTTTTGGCAATAGTTACATATTTAGGCTTCAGTTGTGCTTCATGAGCTGCTGAAAGAAGTTCTTCCACATGGACACCTAAATACCGTTTGAATCTCTCCTAAAAGACATTGTGTGAGTCAATGCAACTGTTCTCATTACTGTATATATGTTTCTCTGCATTACAAAGAGTAAACTTCTTGTTCTTTACTGATCATCTTGTTCTTTACTGACTAATTCGCAAGCCTTTCTCACATTGATGCGGCTGCAGGGGGTCTCTGTGTGTGGCCAGAGGAAGCCTTCAAAGCTCTTATTTTATCTGGCACGGCAAGCTTTGCTCAGGCAAAAGTCCAAGCTACATAGATCGGTTCATCTTTCTGGCCTTCTCTATTGACCGGCTTAATGCCTGCAAAATTAAAAAGCCAACAGAGCTGTGGAGTCATTCGGGGACCATAGTAATACTGGAATGGGAAGAACAAATACAAGGGAACCACAAGAATACCATAGAGGAGATGCAGGGGTGGATATCATGTCGCTCTCCATCGGGAGCATTCCTCTTTGCAATGCCATGAGATGTGGTTTCGGGACCAAATATTGCAACCATAGAGTCAGAAGGGACCACAAGAGCTACCTAGTCCAAAACCCTTACTATTAATGAAGGAGTGTGGAACACAATGTGGATAGCTCAGACTAAAACCTAGAGCAGATTCAATGTCCACATTGAGACAGAGGTTGCTGGCTAGCACTACATTTCAGCATTAATTGCTAACAACAACAACAATAGTTAGTTGTTATGGTACAGGATGGATTATAGCAGGCATGGGCAAACTTTGGCCCTCCAGGTGTTTTGGACTCAGCTTCCGTGCACAATTCAAAGTGCTGGTTCTGACCTATAAAGCCCTAAACGACTCTGGCCCAGTTTACCTGTCCGAACGGATTCTCCCCTATGAACCATCAAGGCTACTAAGATCTTCCGGGGGGGGGGGGGGGCCTGCTCTCGGTCCCACCACCCTCGCAATCACGGTTGGTGGGGACGAGGGACAGGGCCTTCTCGGTGGTGGCTCCCTGGCTTTGGAACTCCCTCCCACTAGAGATCAGATCCGCCCCCTCCCTCCTGATGTTCAGGAAATTATTAAAAACCTGGCTCTGGAATGTGGCATTTGAGGACTGAACCTAGAACCTCTCCCTGTGATGAATTATGATGAACTGTGACTATGAGTATGACTATGACTATGACTGGATTGACGATTTGGCTTAGGAAATTGTAATGATGAGTTTTTATTGTACTGTATTGGACTATTTTAATATGTAATGACTTGCACTTGTTGTTCTTTATATGATTGTATTTTATATATGCTGTAAACCGACCTGAGTCCCTCGCTGAGGTGAGAAGGCCGGTATAGAAAACTTCCAAATAAATAAATAAATAAATTGGACTCCAACTCCCACAATTCTCTCTGCCCCGGAGTGTGGTGGAGGCTCCTTCTTTGGAAGCTTTTAAACAGAGGCTGGATGGCCATCTGTCAGGGGTGATTTGAATGCAATATTCCTGCTTCTTGGCAGAATGGGGTTGGACTGGATGGTCCAGGAGGTCTCTTCCAACTCTTTGATTCTATGATTCTATGACCCAGCACCAATAGCCCAAAGTGATAAAAAGAAAAAAAAATCACACAGACTAATGTTATCTCTTCCATAGGAGACTTTTCTTTATAGGAAAATAATATAGTTGCACTGTTTACAAGAACAAGGTCTCCATGATGCAAATAAAGTTCAGCCTTCATACTGGAGCTTCACACATGAGGTCTTCTCATACCGAGGCCTACCTCACACACTGAGGCCTTTCTCCCACTGAGACCTCTCACAGACTGAGGGGAGCTAACACTGAGGCTCCCTCAGACTGACAGCTACTAAGCTTCACACATTGTGAGGCCTCGCACAGACTAACGCCTATCTCACACTGAGGCCTTCTCACACAGAGACCTCTCACAGACTGAGGAGAGCTAACACTGAGGCTCTCTCAGACTGACATCTACTAGCTTCCCACATTGTGAGGCCTTCTCTCACAGACTAAGGCCTACCTCACACTGAGGCCCCGGTGGTGCACTGGGTTAAACCCCTGTGCCGGCAGGACTGAAGACCGACAGGTTGCAGGTTCGAATCCGGGGAGAGGCGGATGAGTTCCCTCTATCAGCTCCAGCTCCTCATGCGGGGACATGAGAGAAGCCTCCCACAAGGATGATAAAAACATCAGAATCATCCGGGCGTCCTCTGGGCAATGTCCTTGCAGACGGCCAATTCTCTCACACCAGAAGCAACTTGCAGTTTCTCAAGTAGCTCCTGACATGACAAAAAAAAACCTCACACCGAGGCCTTCTCACACAGAGACCTCTCACAGTCTGAGGGAGCCAACACTGAGGCTCCCTCAAACTGACAGCTACTAAGCTTCCCACATTGTGAGGCCTTCTCTCACAGACTAAGGCCTACCTCACACTGAGGCCTTCTCACACAAAGACCTCTCACAAACCGAGGGGAGCTAACACTGAGGCTCCTTCAGATAATTACTAAGCTTCATGCACTGTGAAGCCTTCATTCACAGATTAAGGCCTTCTCACACTGAGGCCTTCTCACACCAAGACTCTCACAGATTGCGGGGAGCTAACACTGAGGCTCCCTCAGACTGACAGCTACTAAGCTTCACACACTGTGAGGCCTTCTTTCACAGATTAAGGCCTACCTCACACTGAGCCTTCTCACACAGAGACCTCTCACAAACTGAGGGGAACTAAGACTGAGGCTCTCTCAGGCCTATTTTTCAGAGGCATTCTCAAGTAGCCAGGAGTGCCATGAGGTGACTCAAAGTGTGTGTAAATTGACATAATGAAGAGTACAATGTAGCCTCTGCTGATCAATGGGTTTGCTTCCATTTTCCACTGCAGGAGGAAAGCCATGGTCCACAAGAGCAAGGAGTCCGTCTTCTCTGAAACCGGACACGACCCGGTGAAATACCGGCGATCGGAGGTTCAGGAGGCAGAGGAGGAGAGCGCCTTGGAGGAATCGGTTCTTCTCCCGATGGATCCCAGCCTGGAATGCCACAGCCCTCCACCTGACTACAACTCCGTGATCCAATACACGGCTCCTCCGGTGTAGCCCACCACTGCCTTCTGTATCTGCAGCCAGGCAGCACTGGCCTTGACCTTCCCTTTCTCAAAGCCTGCTCTGAGGACTGAATGGCATTAAGAAGAGAAGACCAGTTGCCCAAAGCACAGATTCGTCCATGCTTGGCATCTGGAAATCCTTTCACTTTCCCCATTTTCTGCAATTGCAAAACAAGGGCATATCTGTGGGACTTCCCTCTCGCTCTCTTTCGTGTACCAAATATTCTCCCTATTTGGTTGATCCCCAAGTCACGCTGCCTCTCAAAATCCAGGGAGGTTTCTTAAATCAGGGATTCTGGCCTTCCTAGTTCCAGGTATCAAGCAACCTTTGCTTAGCTTGCTTTCCAGCCCCTCATTTTGTTTTTCCTCCTTCCTGAAAATGGATTGCAGAATTGGATTTGCACCGACCGCAGGTGAAGCATGCTGAAAGAACGGTGACGTGTACTTTGCCACTGTTGATTTGCTAGGCAAAGATGGGACAGAATGTACCTTCGACAATCAATACTCTTTGTGCCTCATCCACAAATGGGATAATTCCCTTTCTTTCTTCCTTTTCTTTCCAGAGGCAATCCTTCCCTGTCTTTCCATTTACCTTCCAGCTAAAGAGCTCACATTTAGGATATAGTAAAGGTTTCCCCTTGACATTAAGTCTAGTTGTGTCCGACGCTGGGGGTTGGCGCTCATCTCTATTTCTAAGCCGAAGAGCTGGTGTTGTCCGTAGACACCTCCAAGGTCATGTGGCCACTGGCATGACTGCATGGAGTGCTGTTGCCTTCCTGCCCGAGATCTACTCACATTTGCATGTTTTTGAACTGCTAGGTTGGCAGAAGCTGGGGCTAACAGTGGGAGCTCACCCCGCTCCCTGGATTCGAACCACCGACCTTTCGGTTAGCATGTTCAGCAGCTCAGCAATTTAACTCACTGTGCTATCATGGGGGGGGGGGGTGCTTTAGTATATTTCAGGCCAGCCTCTTTCTTTCTCTACCTAGGAAAGAATAGAGCGGGATAGTGTTACGGGAGTGTCCCCGTTTTCCAAGATTCCGAGATCAGCGAAGAAGGAAGAGACAGAGACAGCAAGTTCACAGAATTTATTGCTTACCCCGGGTAAGGGCGCCCCAGCTTCAACATGGCTGATGTGGCACAGAGCACTACCCAAAAGCATCCAGTATTTATAGGCAGAATTACTTAGTTTGCACATGCGCATAATTCTCTTGACATTTACACAATCTAATCAATATCAGTTTGTCCTCGAGGAATCGCAGCCAAGAACACTTGTTTGGCAAGATATTATAATTTCCACTGCTCCCCTTTCATCAGCTGACCAGACACATTCCCAGATGAGATACATAAAAGTGAATCTTAACTTCATATATCTCTTCACACATATATATGACTCCATACATCTTCATATGTGTATCTTTAACTTATTCAAAGCAAGCATTTCCCTTATTAATTCTTCTGTAATTACTTTCACATCATTTTCCTATATTCTTACTTATGTAGGATTGTTCATAGGACTGAATTACCTGCTATTTACATCAGATGGAGGATAGATGGCGCTGTTGTACCATATCTTCAGATGTTTGTTTTTCTTGGATCAATAATTATCGATTGACTTTTAGAGCCAATTCTCTGACCTTCCACATTTAGCACATAGCCGTCCTTCTATTTATTTACTTAAGATATGGTTTCTCCTGCCTTGTCCCAGTCCTGTTCCATCTGTCAATTTCCCTTCCACCAGAATTCTACCCCCGTACCTTAAGAAAACCTTTAAGGTAAGACTTCTTCATTAATTTCATTAGATTCTAATTATTTTTCTTCTTGATGACTGCCACAATAGTTCCCAAGCAAAGATGGATGATGTGTAGTCCTCCAAACATCACTATTAGCCCTAGCCAGCAGTGAAGCATGGCATGAGTTCCACCTTGTACGACAACATTGGGAAGGCCTCAGTTTTCTCTCTCTTCATCTGCAGTATGGACTTTAGTTTGGTCTTCTGCCAGCGTAGTAATTTGAAAACATGCAAATGTGAGTAGATCAATAGGTACTGCTTCTGCAGATATTGGTGTTCCATGCAGACATGCTGGCCACATGACCTGGGAGGTGTCTATGGACAATGCCGGCTCTTCGGCTTAGAAATGGAGATGAGTACCTATCCTTTCCTATTTCCCCATGCATTATTGTATATCTACCTTCCTCATCTTTCAATACCTTGTTTATTACAAAGTTACATTTCTTTGCAATTATTATAGCTACAACTCTCAATTTTGGCGACCCAAAAGATTTTTCATAGCTTCTTATCCAGCTTGATTTTAATTCATTCGATCCTGGTTTATTCTGGTATGTTTCCTGTAAGAAGATAACATCCGCTGCATCTTTTTTCAGTAGGGTTTCAATCCTCCTTCTTTTAATTACCGTTCCTTAACCTCTGGTGTTCAGTGTTGATATTCTTAATTTATTGGACATCATTTCCATTTCTATTAAAAATCGTTTTGTGGCTTGATCCATTGTGAATCCTTGTCCCTAGTAATCCCCTCCCCCCTCCCCCCACTTCTCCTCCTCCCCTCATTCCCCCCTTCCTCCACTTCCATTCTTTGGGGCATCTTGTCCCAAACATGGCGCCCAGCCTTCCCAACTAGGGAGGGGGGACGAAATCATCCTGTGGCCCAGAGTCTCCCTCCCTCACTTCCCCCTGAGTGTTCATATTTTTTACATAAGAATTAAATTTTTGATTGCAGTGCTTCTAAATTTCTTCTTTCAGCCCTATTCCTTCTACAGCGCTGATTATTTCCTCCAATTCTCCTTCTTTCTCTGATGTTCTTCCTCCCACCGCTCTTTCTCTTCCTCATCCTTTCCATCTCTGTCTTGTTTCTTTATTATGCCGAGCTCCTTCAGTCCTTGCTCCAAAAAAAAAAAATCAATTCTGTACCTCTTGCCTCTCCATTGGAATTTGAGAAAAGTTGGGTATCCCCAGGCCTTCATTAACTGAATCGTAATTGGCTTCGTTGAATATCTCCAGTTTTTAGTTTCAGGAAAACATGCAAATGTGAGTAGATCAATAGGTCCTGCTTCTGCAGGTAACGGTGCTCCATGCAGTCCTAGGAGGTGTCTATGGACAATGCCGGCTCTTCGGCATAGAAATGGAGATGAGCACCAGACCCCAAAAGGTCAGTGGTTCGAATCCAGGATGAGCTCCCACTGTTGGCTCCAGCTTCTGCCAATGTAGCAGTTCGAAAACATGCAAAATATTAGGCCTGGGTAACAATGGAAAAATTTGTTTCTAAAATCGATTTGTATTTGGGGGGTTTTTTGTTTCGATATTTAAAATAATTACAAAATTTTCCTTTTAAAAAGTTCGATATTTACGAAATTTTGTAAATGGTAAAAAATTAACGAATCGATTTCCGAAACAATAACGAATCGATTCGTTAATGGCGGACGCGACCGCGAAATACGCTAAAAAACCTCCAAAACCTTCTGAAGCTTCCCTCTCCCTCTGTTGTTGACTGTTGGTGTGATATTATAATTTTTTTTCACTAATTAAACCATAAAACTGGCCCAGACATGCAGAAAAAATAACGAAACGACCTCAAAACAATAACGAAACGAATACAATATCGAAATACGAAGCATTTACAAAACGTTTTGAAAATTCATTTTTTTTAATAATTGCTCCAGAATGGTTCGTTATCGTTTTGTAATTGAAAAAATTAACGAATTATTAACGAATTACGAATTAACGAAACGAAACCGCCCAGCCCTACAAAATATGTGTAGATCAATATGTACCGCTTCTGCAGGTAATGGCGCTCCATGCTGTCATGCTGGCCACATGACCTTGGAGGTGTCCATGGACAACACCGGCTATTTGGCTTAGAAATGGAGATGCACAGTCAGACATGACCAGATTTAATGTCAGGGGAAATTTTTACCTTTACTTAAAGCGAGACCATGAAGCCAACCAGCATATAGGTCGATCCTATAGATTCAATGAGTCTAGTGGAGTCTAGGCTGACCAGGCCATTTTTTAATTTTGTTTGAATTTTTGATAGTTTTCTAAGAACGTCAAAAGGACTTTTCTACATATTGGAGATAGTCCTCGAAATTATTGCCTGGACTCGATCGGTGCCCATCCGCACTGCATCGTTATAGCACTGCGATTCCACTTTAAAATCTTGTGCTGTGTCATTTGGAGAATTCAAAATGCAAATCCCGGCATTTCCATGGGACGTTGCACTGGGAGTTTCTATAAAGTCACAGCATGATTACGATGCATTCTGCGAGTCGGAAGGCAAAACCTGCCAATCCATGAAATGGAGAATTGAAAACCCTCTTGGAAGCCAATGGGAAAAGATCCCATGTTTAGAGAAGCCATAGAGACCCAAGAGGTCAACTGTAAAAGCACTTAACTTACTCATTCACTCCTGTTTGGGCATTTCAATTCTGTGCCCTCCTAAAAATGCACAAGACTCAATCTCTTCTTCGTCTTGCTCAGGAATATTAATTCCTCCAGAGAAGCTTGCCTGCAAAGGTCACACTGACATACTAAGGAACAATTCTGCAATTCTAAGTCACCTGCAAACCTAAGCTATTGCTATATATTGGACACCGGTAACATCATTTCTATCGATGAAAATCAACCCTCAATGGCCCGGATTTGTGAGTTTTCACTACTGGGTCAATAAGAATTACCTCTATGGGTTGCTGTGAGTTTTTTAGGCTGTCTGGCCATGTCCCAGAAGCATTCTCTCCCGACATTTCACCCACATCTATACCAGGCACCCTCAGAGTTTGGGAAGTCTGTTGGAAGCAGCTAGGCTTTGAAGCTGCAAAGCCATTCAGTGTGAATCAAGGTGGCCAATTGTAACATTCACACTTGCCTCAAACAGACAAGAGTTCCAAATACTTCCAAAATTTGGATTTATCTGACCCAAACCCAAACTCAAATTTTCTGGAAAAGGTAACATCTTCCAATTGTCCAGGTCCAATCGACATCTTCCAATTTCTGCAGGCAGGAAACAGCCATGCCTTGAAGCTGCAAGGCTATTCAGTGCTAATCAAGGTGATCAATTGCAGCATTCACATTTGCCTCCAACAGACAAGAGTTCTTTCTCCCACCCTGGACATCATCCTCTCTCTCTCTCTCTCTCTCTCTCTCTCTCTCTCTATATATGTATATATATATATATATATATATATACACACACACACACATGCACAC